TTTTTGGGCGGTTATCCTAGGGTTCTCCTACACATATGCTGTTATGTATGATAATCTTTGTAACTGGTATGTATGTATACCTTATAAACTTTAATTACATAATAACAAAAAGGAATTAATTTTCGACAGTTACCCCAGTATAGTAACACATTTTCTCTTATGTTAGATTAGAGAAAAATGTATATTCTGGCATCACTTGTACAAGTTATCTGGCTACCACATACTCATATTTATGTTTATTTATTCTATTGTGGGGTGTATTTGTCATCTTTATAGCGTTATGTTATCGTGTTTATTATATAATTTTGATAAAAATATCATGATTAATGAAAATGTGTATATTAACGTAATATACAACATTTAATGAGACTCTGTGATATTATGATTATTATTTATTATTATTATTTTTAATTTGGCGTCACGTGTGCAGTCGTCTGTACCCATATCAGATTTATACTGTTATGCATTTGTGTGATTATTATATACTTTTGAAAAATATCATAGATGGATTAATGAAAACGTGTATATGTAACTTAATATTACTACATTTATTATACGAGACTCTGGGGATTATTTTTATCATTATAATATTGACGTCTCATGACATAAGACACACTACTTGATTTTTATGTGAACCTGCATGCCAGCTCAGTATGTAAGTTTATTTAGGTACAGGTATACATAAGTATAATTATCAGAGTATATATAAAAATATGAAATATACTTTTAAAAAAAAACTTAAAATTTTGGGAGTTTCCAGACTGAAATGGAGAGACTTAGTGCTTTGGATCTCAAGAGGAATGTAAACAAACTGGGTGGAGTGCAAGGACCGTATTAGAAAGTTAGGTGGGGGGAGCCGTATTGTGAGCTTTGGTCATTAATTGAAATGACCGTAGTAGGGAACGCCGTAAAGCAATAACGCCGTACTGCGGGGGCCCTAATGTACTCTATTCTTCTTATAAACAATTTGCTTTGTAAAAAAAACCTCTCATAAGTCAAACTTTTTCTCTTTTATCACACCCTTCACTTCATCATCCACCAATTACTCCTCTTTCCTCCTGCACACCTCCTATAACCACTAAACTTCTGCCCACTTTAATACTGCATTTTTAAAACTATTCCAAACCCTCTTCAACCCCCCACTACTCATACTTGCACCAGCCCACTTTTCTGCCAATAGTTGCTTATATCTCACCCGAACTTCCTCCTCCCTTAGTTTATACACTATCACCTCCCTCTTGCTTGTTGTTGCCATTTTCCTCTTTTCCCATCTACCTCTTACTCTATACTGTAGCTGGATACAACTAAATAATGATTCGATATACCAGTTGCCCCTCTATACTGATATCAGCCATAAATTTAGTATTGGCATCAGCAAAAAATTTTGACATTGTCCCATCCCTAGTCGGCACACTTCTGGAAAGACAGTGATAGACTGAACAATGTAGAATGTGTTTATTTTCTTCTTGGGCGCACCCTGCTTTGGCAGATAGTTGTCAAGGTAAAAAAAATTGTTTCTTCATGATAGTGTAAAAAAATAATGTTTTACATAATGTGAAGTTCCAAATAAGTGCTTAAAACACAGTTGGAATAAATAATCTCCTTATCCATATTCTATCTGCAAAATTCTATGGAAAATCCTTTGTATTAATTAGACATTTTAGTTTAAACATAATGAAATGTTAAAGGGATGTGAAATACACATGGAAGATTGTGTATCAGAAATCTGTCACACACTTCTCTAGATTACTTAAGATAATTAATTTTATAGGTTATTAACCAGTGAACTGTCAGTCACACAGAAATACATCAGCACTAATGCTAATGTGTTTAGTGCTGATGTATTATTGTGTGCACCTGAATTACCTATATCTACAGCTTTAACACTATCGTGTAGTGCTTAGTTGGTATCATTTGCCCTATTTACCATGTACTCTGTCATCAACTTTAGTGACAAAAATAAATGGTTGGTATATCACAGTTGCCCCACATAGCAGTGGATGATGGAAAAGCTCTCTAAATTTGTGTATTGGCTTATAGCAGCTTTGGAGACATATTTCTAGGTTTTTGTATCATTGTTTTCTCCAATAGACCCAGTATGTGAATGGAACACTTCTGGAAGTTTCAGACAGATTACTGAAATGCTAAATTGGTGGATTATTATCTTTAATTTTCTATGGGCGCACCCTGAACTCTCCCCATGCCTGTTTTAGGTTTTTAAACATAGAATTGTTTCTTCTTGATGTGTAAAATATGTGTTTACATGAAGTGAGTTCGGCAAAACGTGCCGTCTGAACACAGCTCCTGGGGAATCAGATATAATCTCGCTTTCCATGTGCTGCACGCAAAATACATGGCCAAGCTCGGCTTGATGATACTTTAGATGTGCTTAGTTCTCACAAGCATAATGAAGATGTTAGGGTTGTGGATAATCACCCTGTATGTGTGCTGGATGCATGAAATCTGTGCACCACTTCCTAGATACTTAGATAATTATTGTTATGGTTATTAACCAGTGAACCTGCCATCAAGGAGGGAATGGTGCATCAGCTGCTAAGTCTTTGTGTCTAGTGGTGATTTTCTGTCAAGTTCGGATCCTTGGATTTTCCAGGTATATATCTGATCTCTCACTCACTGGTTCCAGTGATTAAGGTTTAGGATCAAGGCTCAATCAAAGGCTGAATTTTATCTGTTGATGCAGCTGAAATCTTGTGACAATTTGTCGAATGGTGTTGCTATATAATTCACTGCCTTGAAAGCTGTGGTTGATGGACAGCAACTTCATGGTAGTTTAGTAAAAAGTACTTGTAGAGGTCATTTGGGCTTGGCTGGCTGTTTTTGAAGGTTGATTATCATTGTTGTTTTCTGGAGGCAGATGAACAAAGATATGGTTGAAGTGGAAATCTGGACAGTTCAGCCAAGTTTGACGTTGGAATGGCCTATATTTGGTGGCAAATAGTTTTTCTTGTGAGTTATTTTCCTAGGTAAGGGTATGGGGCTAATTAAATCCTCCCCATGCCTTGATTTATTGTTTTTGGCACTAGATCTTCTTCAATCTTCTTTTGTGTCACAATGGATTTAAAATGGACAGAAAGTGTTATAGAGGAGAGGCCTGGGAATGTGATTACTGAACAAATGAAGGTTGAAATTTGTTGATGATTAAATGAGAAAGCATACTACAGCAAACTTACTAACAAAACAGCCAGGAATTGGGTCATTTCAAGAACTGTAATTAGCCTAAAAAAATCCTTTAAATATGTAAAAGCACTGTTGCTTAAGTGCTCCCTTTTGGGTGTAATTACCTTTAGAAAAAGATTCTCTGCCATTTAAGAAGATAAAAATTTTACTTTTAATTAAAAAATGCAGACACAGAAGTAGATTTTAGTCAACCCTTAAACTGTCCAAACTTAGATCTATGTTCACTTGCGTAGCACTCCAAACGTAGATCTACTTTTTTTTTTTTTTACATTTGAAACCATGTAAAATAAAACGTAGATCTACGTTGAGAGCGCTACTCAAGTGAACGTAGATCTACGTTTGGACAATTTAAGGGTTAAGGGAAGGTGTCAACCATTTAACCCTTTCAGGGTTGAGAGGTCCTCTCTTAAACTTGTTCTCAGGGTCAAAAATTTTTTGGAAAAAAAAAAAAAATTCTTATGAAAAGATAAGAGAATCTTTTCCCAATCATAATGACACCAAAAGCATGAAATTTGATGGAAAACTCATGGAATTATGCTCTTGAGAAGTTAGCAGTCTCGACGATGTTTATGCATCGGCGATTTCGCCCACTTTGAGCCCTATTTTCAGCCAATTCCAGTGTACTAGTCGACAAAACTCATAATTATTTTGCTAGAACTCCATTTTTTCTATCGAATGAGTACAAGAAACCACCCATTTACCGATTTCAACTATCCAATAAAGTGCTCAGAAATTGGCAATTTTGCCAATTTCACACAAATTTCAAAAGATGCCAATTTCCAAACAGGTTCCAGAATAAACAAGGCAGACATTCCTGGCACTAAAATAACATTTTCTCTGTTCATTAGTCACGTCCCCAGGCCCCTCTTACATTTCTTTTGCTTTCCACTTTGAATTTTTATTCTCACAAAAAATAGAAAATTTACTGTTATGCAGACTACTGCATTAGTGTAGAAATGGTATAAATAATATCAGCGCACTTGTGAAAGAATATTAGACTCACCAGTTGACGTGTATTGGACGCATGGCATGATTTGTTTACTTTTGAACTTTGGCAAAAATCGAACATTTCTGCTACTCTGAACTCAATTTCAAAGTACTTTTCATTGTGAAATCAATCAAAATCATCTCAATTTCTGTAATATGTCTTCCATTCTATAAAATGAGACCAGGAAAACTAGAATACAACCATGAATACCACACGAAAATACACTGCAAAGTCGCTGTTTTAAACCAAAAACAGGGACAGAGTTTTTTTTTTTTCTCATTATGCACTGTGTGCTGCAGGATTTTTTTTATACTGTACACACTGACCACATAGACCCATTCTTTCATATGTAGGCCTACCAGCTTTCTCTCAGTAGATTTGAAGGCGCTAGAATTTACGCGTACTAGTACGTCAATAACCTTGGCACATAAGACGTATTAGTACATCGGAAACTCTGAAAGGGTTAAGGGTTAATGACTGATGTGAAAACAGTGTTTTTGTGACTGGCTCAATGTATGTACAGTATCTAACTGTGAAGATATTAATGTTGTGTTTTATATGACTAAAATAATCATTCGGTGTAGTATTATCAACTTTTTACTGAGTAAACCAATTAAAAATTGCATTAATGAGTTTATAGGAATGAATTTGGCATGATTAGTGATTGAGGGTAGAAAACAAGGAGAGGGGTTTGAAACCTAATCCTTTAGAATTTCTTGCAAGTAGATATGTTAATTATATGTTAAGAATCATTTTGGCTAATTAAGCCTAGACTCTAGGTATAAAACATGATAGTGTACTATATTAAACCCACCTGATGAAGAATATCCTTGTGTATATTACGCATAAGAGCCTTGGAATACACTAGGGAGTTAAGCGGTAGTTTGGCCATATCATAAATTTTGGGCCACACATCCTCAGGAAAGTTTGCATCTGGGATCACTTCTGTCACCAAGCCAAGCTTCAGTGCTTCTCTTGCTGTAACCTGCCATATACAGGATACAATATACTATGTTATTATTGAAAACTAGCCCTCGTATTAAGTAGTCTGTAAACCATTAAATTTAGACTGCCCATAATGTCAAGGCATGATAGTCGATCTCTCTGCACTGCAAATCATTATTGTAATTACACACTGTAAACTATCTATGTAAACACGACTCCCTACAACATGTCAATCTCATTATAAACTTGCAAAGAAATAAAAATTGAATGTTTCATTCCATCCTAGAGAGATTTATTTTTTAACTTGATGGTAGTCTCCTGCCAAGGCAGGGTGACCCACAGAAAACACATTCACTCAACTGCCATCTTTCCAGAAATGCACTGATCTCAGCTCAGAATGGGTTTAATAACAAAAGAACAGACAAAATGATACATGTCAATATTCGCTAATCTAATATGAAAGTTTTAACAATTGTACAGTGGACCCCTTGGTTATTGGCCGTAATCCGTTCCAGAAGATCCGCCTAAAAGTGAAATGGCCAAAAACTGAAATAGTATTTCCCGTAAGAATTAATGTAAATACAATTAATGTGTGGTGTAAATATTATGCAGAAAATTCAGAGTGTGGAAATTAGGAGAAGGTGTGGAGTTAATAAAAGCATTAGTCAGAGGGCTGAAGAGGGGTTGTTGAGGTGGTTTGGTCATTTAGAGAGAATGGATCAAAGTAGAATGACATGGTTGAGGTGGTTTGGTCATTTAGAGAGAATGGATCAAAGTAGAATGACATGGAGAGCGTATAAATCTGTAGGGGAAGGAAGGTGGGGTAGGGGTCGTCCTCGAAAAGGTTGGAGGGAGGGGGTAAAGGTTTTGTGGGCGAGGGGCTTGGATTTCCAGCAAGCTTGCGTGAGCGTGTTAGATAGGAGTGAATGGAGACGAATGGTATTTGGGACCTGACGATCTGTTGGAGTGTGAGCAGGGTAATATTTAGTGAAGGGATTCAGGGAAACCGGTTATTTCTATATAGCCAGACTTGAGTCCTGGAAATGGGAAGTACACTGCCTGCACTCTAAAGGAGGGGTTCGGGATATTAGCAGTTTGGAGGGATATGTTGTGTATCTTTATAGGTACGTATATGCTTCTAAACTGTTGTGTTCTGAGCACCTCTGCAAAAACAGTGATTATGTGTGTGTGAGGTGAAAGTGTTGAATGATGATGAAAGCATTTTCTTTTTGGGGATTTTCTTTCTTTTTTGGGTCACCCTGCCTCAGTGGGAGACAGCCAACATGTTAAAAAAAAAAATTAATCCGTTCCAGACACCCAAAAATATTAACAAAAAATACATTTTTTGAAGATTAATTATAGTTTTACATACACAAAACAATGAGAACTAAATAATATAAATACATGAACAATTAAATCACTATTACATACCTTTATTGAAGACTCTTTTTGGCTTATGGAAGATAGGGAGGAGAGAGGGAGTTGGGGTTATTGTTTGGAAGGGGAATCCCACTCCATAAGAACTTCAGGTAACAAGTCCCTCTCTGGGGTTACTTCCCTTCTTTGTCTTTTAATCCCACTAGGACCAGCCTGAGAGTCACAGGACCCCAGTCACACAAAATAACTGTCCAGATTGCTCTGTTTCTGGCATCTCTGTAAGATTTCCCTGAAGTGGGACAAGGTTTTGTCACTAAACTTGTTGCAGATATGGCTTGTTTCAGCTTGAGGTGAGGCAGTGGCTGGTGAGGTGAGGCAGTGGCTGGTGTGCTGAGGTAGTGACTGGTGTGGTGAGACAGTGACTGGTGTGTTGAGGCAGTGGCTGGTGTGTTGAGGCAGTGGCTGGTGTGGTGAGGCAGTGGCTGGTGTGGTGAGGCAGTGACTGGTGTGTTGAGGCAGTGGCTGGTGTGTGGGGAGGCGAGTGGCTGGTGTGTTGAGGCAGTGGCTGGTGTGCTGAGCAATGGCTGGTGTGTTGAGGCAGTGGCTGGTGTGCTGAGGCAGTGGCTGGTGTGTTGAAGCAGTGGCTGGCATGTTGAGTTGGTGGCAGGATGGAAGTGATTGTTGATTTGTTTTTCCCATACATCCTGGCAAGTTAATTAAACCAAATGAACCACACATCCAGCCTGCAGACACTGCTGCCAAACTTTATGTCTTCTCTACTAGCAAGCAAAATCTCAACCTCAAATATTCAGGTAAAGACTACCTTACTGGAAAGTACCCAAATACTCTTTATCTAGCTCCTACTAATGCTACCAAAGGCTCACTCATCATAAAGTCACTTAAAAACAAGACAGGAGACCTAAATAACTTGCCACTACTCAAATATAAAAAAGCAGTACATGTGCTGTTGCCCATTACTGCAACTCCATTTAACCTTCAAACAGTCCAAATGTATATATACTTTCACCTGTGCAGTACCCCGAATATTTTGAGGAAAAAAATTGTTTTTCATTTTATAGAAAAAAGAGCATGTGGTACCCAGGCGTCCCCAATTTTTTGTATACGGCACACACTGAGTGCACACAACTACTGGATCACTATGACATGGCCTTGGATGCACTGGAAGAAAATCAGAATGCAGATGTAATATACACAGACTTTGCAAAAGCATTTGACAAATGCGATCATGGCGTAATAGCCCACAAAATACGTGCTAAAGGAATAACTGGGAAAGTGGGGGGATGGATCTTCAACTTCCTAACAAATCGAACACAAAGAGTAGTGGTCAACAGAGTTAAATCGGAGGCTGCCATAGTGAAGAGCTCTGTTCCACAAGGCACAGTACTCGCCCCCATCTTATTCCTTATCCTCATATCAGACATAAACAGAGATATACACCACAGCACCGTATCATCCTTTGCGGATGATACTAGGATCTGCATGAGGCTGTCTTTTTCACTCTCAGATCAGGGGTCTGGACCCTGAAAGGGTTAAAACTCCATTCTCATGTTTCAGCTTCATATCATTCCAGACCATGGAGCTAAACTCATTTCCAGGCTAAGAGACTGACCACCTCAAGCTATTTCTGCAAGGCTGACTACATCATCACTACTCCTGCTGCCTACCATCCATTCTCCTCTGTATTTGACTGAAGAAGCCTACTATGTAGGTGAAACATTTCAACAATAAAGATACCTAACTGCTGCACATGTGTATAACTCATCAACTTATTAGTATTATATACCATTTTTATACACAAATAACCCGCACATAAAAGAGAAAAGCTTACGACGACGTTTCGGTCCGACTTGGACCATTGACAAAGTCACACACGTGTGACTTTGTCAATGGTCCAAGTCGGACCGAAACGTCGTCGTAAGCTTCTCTCTTTTATGTGCGGGTTATTTGTGTATCGTTCCAGTCACGGTATTGTGCCTTTTTGTTATTTATACCATTTTTATCATTACTCTGTTAAACTGATGGTTTACTGTATAATGGAATGAGAGGTCATGCTCTCATTTTGGGTTATCCTAGGTACTTTACACACATGATGCTATGTATGATAATTCTATGTAACTGTATTTGTGTATACCTGAATAAACTTACTTAACCTCCACATTTTTAGCCCTAGCCATGGTTCCAATGAATAAAAGAAATTCTTCTCATTGTGTAAAGCACATACACCCTACACTGTCCATAAAAGATAGGTGGTTTTGAAGCCACTGCAGGTTGCCATGAGCTCAGCCCACTCAGGTAAGCTGGAACTAAAACACCTCAGAGGATGCAATGGGAGTCACAGTGGGAGGTGGAAAGGGAGAGATCAGTTTTTGTCTATGGGCTAGACGAAGCTGAAGGGGAAACTTATGATGAAAGAAAAGCAGGAGGAGAAAAAAGCGATTGAAGGTATCATGAAGGTGATAGGCGAGGGAGACATGACCCAGGTGGCAAATTTTCGGAGAATCGGGTGGCTCACAAAAAGAAGAAATTGGCCTCAAAATAATTTTCAAGGCAGAATCAACTCAAACCATGATCCTGCAGGAGAAAGCATGGCTGAGAGGCAAACGGGAGTTCATGAGTGTGTACCTCGATCGAGACAGAACACAGGAGGAAAGGATGATACTGAAAGAGAGAGTGCAAAAACGAAAGGAGGAATGGGAGGAAATGACAAAGAAGAGCAGAATAACCCAGGAACAGGTGGAAGGACAAGCACACCCCCCAGAAACACCTGCAGAAGGACTCCAGCCACGACACCCCCAAGGCAACTGAACAATCCAAACCAACCATCACACACCGATCCCTCTGTTCCCACCCCCTGCACCACGAACAGTACCCCTACAGAAACCCCCTATGGGAGCTCTTTCTCCACCTCCACTGCAACCCCCAACAGGCCCCCACCAGGGCTCCTGCTCTCCCAACCCCAGTATTCCCCCAGGACCACAGTTACAGTATTAGAACAGAAGTTGAAGGTTTGGTACACAAATGCGGATAGATTAATGAATAAATATGAGGAATGGCAAGAAAGAATCAATGAGAAGTCCCCAGACATCATAGCAGTTACAGAAACAAAACTCATGGAGACAATAACAGATGCAATCTTCCCACCAGGATACCAGATCATGAGGAAAGATAGAAGGGGCAGAGGGGGAGGAGGGGTTGCTCTGCTCGTAAAAAACCGATGGAAATTCGAGAAAATGGGAGGCATAGACGAGACAGGAGAAAGGGACTACACAGTAGGTACACTTCAGTCTGGGGAGCACAAGGTGGTCATTGCAGTGATGATAATCCACCACAGAACTGCAGGAGGCCAAGATAGGAATATGAAGAGAGCAACAGAGCAATGGTGGACACTTGCTGAGGTGGCAAGAAGAGCTCACTCCAGCAGAGCAAAGTTGCTGGTTATGGGGGATTTCAACCACAGGGAGTTTGACTGGGAAAACCTGGAGCCACATGAGGGTCCCAAAACATGGAGAGCCAAGATGTTGGATGTGGTGCTGGAAAACCTCATGCACCAACATGTTAAGGACACTACCAGAGTGAGGGGAGGATGAACCAGCAAGATTGGACCTTGTGTTCACCCTGGGCAGTTCAGACACTGAGGACATCACATATGAGAGTCCCCTAGGAGCTAGTGACCACGTGGTTCTGTGCTTTGAATACATAGTAGAGCTGCAAGTGGAGAGAGTAACAGGAGTTGAATGGGAAAAGCCAGACTATAAAAGAGGGGACTACATAGGGTTCAGGAACTTCCTGCAGGAGGTTCCGTGGGACAGAGAACTGGCAGGAAAGCCAGTAATGAAATGATGGAATATGTAACAACAAAATGCAAGGAGGCAGTGGAAAGATTTATTCCAAGGGCAACAGAAACAATGGGAAGATCAGAACGAGCCCCTAGTTTACCCGACGGTGTAAGGAGGCAAAAACAAAGTGCAATAGAGAATGGAAAAAGTACAGAAGGGAGAGAACACATGAAAATAGGGAGATTAGTCGCAGAGCCAGGAACGAGTATGCACAGGTAAGGAGGGAGGCCCAGCGACAGTATGAAAATAACATAGCATCGAAAATCAAGACTGACCTGAAACTGTTGTATAAGCCACATCAGGAGGAAGACAACAGTCAAAGACCAGGTGATCAGACTGAGGACAGAAGGTGGAGAACTCACAAGAAATGATCAGGAGGTATGTGAGGAGCTAAACAGGAGATTTAAGGAAGTTTTTACAGTAGAGACAGGAAGGCTCTGGAAGACAGTACAGAAGGGAACATCAAGAGGGAATATACCAACAAGTGTTGGATGACATAAGAACAACTGAGGAGGAGGTGCAGAAGCTGCTAAGTGACCTTGATACCTCAAAGGCGATAGGACCGGACAACATCTCCTCGTGGGTCCTTAGAGAAGGAGCAGAGATGCTGTGCGTGCCCCTAACCACAATCTTCAACACATCCCTTGAAGCTGGGCAACTACCTGAGAAATGGAAGACAGCAAATGTAGTCCCCATATTTAAGAAAGGAAACAGAAATGAGGCACAAAACTACAGACCTGTGTCTCTGACATGTATTGTATGCAAAGTCATGGAGAAGATTATCAGAAGAGTGGTGGAACACCTGAAACAGAACAAGATTATAAATGAAAACAAGCATGGGATCATGGAAGGCAATCTGTGTCACAAACCTTCTGGAGTTTTATGACAAGGTAACAGAAGTAAGACCGAGAGAGAGGGGTGGGTTGATTGCATTTTCCTAGACCTGCAGGAAAGGCCTTTGACCACAGTTGCCTCCTACAAGAGATTAGTGCAGAAGCTGGAGGATCAGGTGCATAGAACAGGGAGGGCACTGCAATGGATCAGGGAATACCTGACAGGGAGGCAACAACGAGTCATGGTACGTGAAGAGGTATCACAGTGGGCGCCTGTGGCGAGCGGGGGTCCCACAGGGTCAGTTCTAGGACCAGTGCTATTTTTGATATATGCGAACGAACTTGATGGAAGGAATAAAACTCTGAAGTGTCCCTATTCGCAGATGATGTGAAGCTGATGAGAAGAATTAAATCAGATGAGGATGAGACAGGACTGCAAAGAGACCTGGACAGGCTGGACATGTGGTCCAGAAACTGGCTTCTCGAATTCAACCTGCCAATGCAAAGTCATGAAGATTGGGGAGGGGCAAAGAAGACAAAGACAGAGTATAGGCTAGGTGGACAAAGACTACAGACCTCACTCAGGGAGAAAGATCTTGGGGTGACCATAACACCGAGCACGTCACCGGAGGCACACATCAACCAAATAACTGCTGCAGCATACGGGCGCCTGGCAAACCTGAGAATAGCGTTTCAATACCTTAATAAGGAATTGTTCAAGACACTGTACACTGTGTATGTTAGGCCCATACTGGAGTATGCAGCACCAGTCTGGAACCCACACCTGGTCAAGCACATCAAGAAGTTAGAGAAAGTACAAAGGTTTGCAACAAGGCTAGTCTCAGAGCTCAGGGGAATGTCGTACGAGGAAAGGTTGAGGGAAATCAGACTGATGACACTAGAGGACAGAAGGGTCAGGGGAGACATGATAACGACATACAAGATACTGCGGGGAATAGACAAAGTGGACAGAGATAGGATGTTCCAGACAGGGGACACAGAAACAAGGGGTCACAACTGGAAGCTGAAGACTCAGACGAGTCACAGGGACGTTAGGAAGTATTTCTTCAGTCATAGAGTCGTCAGGAAGTGGAATAGCCTAGCAAGTGAAGTAGTAGATGCAGGAACCATACATAGTTTTAAGAAGAGGTATGACAAAGCTCAGGAAGCAGAGAGGGAGAGGACCTAGTAGCGATCAGTGAAGAGGCGGGGCCAGGAGCTGAGTCTCGACCCCTGCAACCACAATTAGGCGAGTACAGACGCATTTGGGCCTGCATATGAGAGAACTGGTCTGTGTGGTAAGTGTGCACTACATAAAAAAAATATCCTGCAGCATGCGGTGCATAATGAGAAAAACTGTGACCATCTTTTTTGAGTAAAACAGTGAATTTGCAGTGTATTTTCATATGAATTTTATGGTTGTATTCTCGTTTTTTTGGTCTCATTTGATAGAATGGTAGATATATTACAGAAATAGAAATGATTTTAATTGGCTTCACAATGGAAAGTACCTTGAAATTGAGCTCAAAGTAGTGGAAATGTTCGAATTTTGCCGATGTTCAAGAGTAAACCAATGATGTCACCATCCAATACGTGTCCAACTGGCCAGTCTAATACACAGTTACACATGGGTTGACATTTTTTATACAATAATGCATTAGTCTGCATAACAGTAAATCTTCTATTTATTGTGTGAATAAAAATTCAAAATGGAAAGCAAGCGTAATATAAGAGGGGCCTGAAGACGTGACTAATGAACAGAGAAAATGTTATTATAGTACCAGGAATGTCTGCATTGTTTATTCTGGACCCTATTTTCAAATTGGCATCTCTTGAAATTTGTGTGAAATTGGCCAAATTACCAATTTCTGACCACTTTATTGGGTAGTTGAAGTAGGTAAATGGGTGATTTCTTGTACTCGGTCGATAGAATAGAAGGAATACTAGCGAAATATCTATGAGTTTGGTAGACTGGAACAATAGAATGGGCCAAAAATAGGGCATAAAGTGGATGAAATCACCGATGCGTAAATATCGCCGGTGACTTCAAGTGTATTCTAACCTAACCACTCTGTAATCTTGCAAAATCACTAATCCGGAACCCTACAGGTTCTGATGATGCTGGATTAGTTATGGTCAACCTGTATTACGTTCCACAAACATCCCTGCTCACCCTATAATACTCTTTAATCAATCCATAGCTCACCTATGGTATCTGTGCATGGGGATCAACAACAGATAATCACCTTAACCCTTTCAGGGTCATGACCTCTACTCTCAAACTTTCTCTCAGGGTTGCAAAATTTTGAAAAAGAAAAAAAGGTTGCTTTTTTTTTCTTATGAAATGTTGAGAATCTCTTACCAAAGGTAATGAAACCAAAACTATGAAATTTGATGGAAAACTTACAGAATTATGCTCTTGCAAAGTTAGTGGTCTTGGCAATATTTATGCACTGGCAATTTTGCCCACTTTGCTGCCCTATTTTTGACCAATTCCATTGTTTTAGTTGACCAAACACATAGTTACTTCCCTATTATTCTTTCTATTCTATCAACTGAATACAAGAAACTGCCCATTTATCTATTTCAATTATGTACCCAATAAAGTGATCAAGAATCAGTAATTTGGCCAATTTCACACAAAATTCAAAAACTGCCAGTTTAAAAATAGAGTCTAGAATAAACAATATAGACATTCCTGGCACTAGAAAACATTTCCAATGTTCCTTAGTCACAACACCAGGCCCCTCTTATATTACACTCGCTTTCCATTTTGAATTTTTATTCACACAAAAAATAGATTTACTGTTATGCACATTACTGCATTATTGTAATAATTGTATAAATAATGTCAGTGCCTTCCTAAATGCATATTAAACTGGCCAGTTGGATGCATATTGGACGAGTGTACGGTGGAACCTCGGTTTTCAAAATGTATGAAAACTGAAGCAATATTTCCCTTAAGAAATAATGTAAATACAATTAATCTGTTCCACACACCCAAAAATATTAACAAAAATTACATTTTTTTAGAGAGCAACTATATTTTTACATACAGAAAACAATGAGAAATAAATATAAATGACTAATGAAATGGATAAATGAACATTTAACATCACTTTTACCTTTATTGAAGACTCTTGTTGGCATATGGAAGACGGCGAGAAGGGGAGAGGGAGGAGGAGAGGTTATTATTTGGAAGGGGAACCCCCATCCATAAGGACCAGCTTGAGAGTCACTGGGCCCCTGCTGCACAAAAAATCTGTCCAGAGAGATGTGTTTCTGGCATCTCTTAACCCTTTCAGGGTCCAAGGCCAAAATCTGAAGTGGTGCCCCAGTATCCAAGAAATTTTGAAAAAAAAAAAAAAAAAAAAATTCTTACAGAATTAAAGATAATATTTTTGTGAAGGTAATAAAACCAAAAAACAAAATTTCTGATCAGTACTTACCGAGATACAGTGGCGGGAAGTTGACCCAAAATGACCGGGTGGTGGCAACATCAGTGACTTCCGCAAAATCCCATTTTTTTATTTTACGTTTTCTATACTTTTTTCTTTTCTTTTCTATTTTTTTCTTTTTCTAATAACATTTGTGGCCTGTGAGACCAGTATAATGTATATTGTATAAGTGTACACTCATTGTATTCAATACAATAACTGCACTAATTTGCTTATCATTATATTGCTTACAAAACTTGTATACAAGTTTATTGTAAACAAAATGATGAAAATATTAGTGCAGTTATTGTGTTGAATACAATGGTACCATATAGTACCATATGGTACAATGGTGCCATAGGGTGCAATGTTACCATAGGGTACAATGACACCATATGATACAATGGTACAATATGGTACAATGGCACATGATACAATGGTACCATATTATACAATGGTACCATATGGTACAATGGCACCATTTGGTACAATGGTACCATATACAATGGTACCATATGGTGCAATGGTACCTTATGGTACCATATGGTGCAATGATACCATATGGTGTAATGGTACCATATGGTACATTGTACCATACAGTACAATGATACCATATGGTTCATTGTACCATATGGTACTGTTGTATTCAACACAATAAACACACTAATATTTTCATTATTATTTTGTTTACAATAGTTGTTTACAACAAAAATATGCAAAAATGTTGTATATTAGTAATGTTCTATTACATATTTACAAGTGTACAGGAACTTGACATGTTCCTTGAGGTGGATGACGAAGCACTTTGTCTCGGAAACTGCTGAGTCCGTAGCTAGCTTGCGTCGCCAGGAGCTGCTCAAAATATCGACTTGGATGACCAATAAACTTACACTTAACACTGGCAAAACCTACTATATTATGTAAGGTAGCAGAGCAGGTGTTGCACAACTTAACATTAAGATCGACAACACTCTAATTGCCAGACATAATGAGAGCAAATTCCTTGGCCTATACCTTGACAACAACCTAAATTTCAGCACCCATATCCAACACATAACAAAAAAGGAATCCAAAACGGTGGGGATCCTCTCCAAGATACGATACTACGTGCCGCAAACTGCCCTTCTCACACTATACCATTCACTTATATATCCATACCTCACCTATGCTATCTGTGCTTGGGGTTCAACTGCAGCAACACACCTAAAGCCAATAATAACCCAACAAAAAGCCGCAGTAAGAATAATCACTAAATTCCATCCCTGGCAACACACCCCCCCACTCTTCATTGATCTAAACTTACTCCCTGTTCAGAACATCCACACTTACTACTGTGCAATCTATATCTACAGGACCTTAAATTCCAATATTAACCTTGACCTAAAAT